ACTCGGTTCCGTCCAGGATTACACGAGCGGATTTCTGGCGCTATGCGAGCAGGTGGGCTACATGCATGAGAGCGAACGCATCGACCGCTACATCGGCGGCCTGAAGCAGGACATCGCTCAGGAAATCCAGCTTCGCGGCGTCACTGAGTTTCAGGAAATTCTCGCTATGGCGGAGAAGCTCGACTTCTTTCGCCGACCGAGACCGGGGTCCTACGGAAACAACACCTGGGGACATCGGCCTCGTGGGACGAACGAGAGCGCCACGATACGCGCCGTCGCCGCAAATGCCGCTGCCGCACCGTTCAAAGGGCGCTGCTTTGCGTGCAATCGGCCGGGACATCGCAAGAGCGAATGCCCGGAAAACGCTAAGGGAAAGGGGGAAGCTGAGCAGCAGACACAGACCAAGCAGCAGGGAAACGCTGGAAGTCAGTAGCAGACGGGCCCTCTACTGACAGGTCACGCCGCTCGCCCGACCCAACCGACCCTCACCGAGTGATTGTGCCGGTTCACGCAATCGACCACACCCGGCCGAATAAGGAGGGTACCACGGTAGATAGCCCTATACTGCTCAGTGGGAAAATTGGGACGGACTTAGTTAAAATCTTCGTAGATGGGGGAGCCAGCCACAGCCTCATTAACACTGCTACAGCACGAAAACTGCGACTGCCACTGGACCGATGCTTACCTGAGATCGACGCACGACTGGTAGACGGCACGCCGCTGGCAATACGGGAACGCGTAGACCGAGTTCGGATTCGATGCGGGGGTAACTTCACGTTTAGTCAGGAAATGCTCGCAACGACCCTCGACGGAACCGACATTTTACTCGGGCGTGATTGGCTGCGACGACACAACCCGCGAATTGACTGGACGACGGGTGACTGCACCGTGCGGGTGAACGGTAACAGCATCGCCTTACCTCGCTGGGGCTCGCCTGAGTCTTCGTCGGTGCGTGTCAACGCGATCACGATGAAACGCGCTGTTGCGGCCGGAGCCGACGTGTACGCGGTTGACATTCGGGAAGCCGAGGCAGCAGACAAGGGAGGCGATTTACAGAAACTGCTGACCGACGTACCGAGTGACCTGGCGGCACTGTTACAACAGTACAGTGACATTTTCCCGGATGACCTGCCGACGGGACTGCCACCTCAGCGACCGCACGATCACAGGATAGAACTGGAACCGGGGGCACAGCCAACAGTACAGCGACAGTTCCGACTGACCCAACTCGAACTAGACGAACTAAGGAAGCAGCTCGATTACCTGCTAGAAAAGGAATTCATTCGCCCTAGTTCGTCGCCTTTCGCCGCACCAATACTGTTCACACCGAAAAAGGACGGGGGTTTTCGCATGTGCATCGACTACAGGGCACTGAACAGGGTTACCATCAAATCCCGTTACCCCATCCCACGAGCCGACGAACTGATCGACCAACTGCGCACAGCCCGGGTTTTCTCGAAAATCGACCTCCGAGGAGGCTACCACCAAATCCGCGTCAACCCACCCGACTGCCCTAAAACCGCATTCCGAACACGCTACGGATCCTTCGAATACACCGTCATGCCATTCGGACTGACCAACGCCCCCGCCACTTTCCAAATGACCATGAACGAAGCATTCCGCCCGCTTTTAGATAAGTGCGTCATCGTTTATCTGGACGACATACTGATTTACAGCCCTGACAGAGCACAGCACTTACAAGACATCGAAGCAGTTTTTAAAATCCTGAGTGAGAACCGCCTACTGACCAAAGCATCTAAGTGTGAGTTTTTACAGGACCGCCTGGAGTTTTTGGGACATGTTATTTCAGCTGCAGGAGTGGAAATAGACCCGAAGAAAATTGCGACGATTCAGGCTTGGCACGCGCCGACCAACTTGACCGAGTTGCAGAGTTTCCTGGGGTTCGTCAACTACGTGCGCCGGTTCGTCCCCGACATGGCGAAACTGACTGCCCCGTTGACTGACCTGCTGAGGAAGGGGGTTGAGTACACGTGGGGGGAGAAAGAGCAAGCTGCCTTCTCGGCCCTCAAAAATATTTTGTGCTCCCCGCCCGTCCTTCACATTGCAGATCCCCACCGTCCGTTCGAGCTCGTCACCGACGCAAGTGACATCGCTGTGGGAGCAGTACTGTTGCAGGATTTCGGGAATGGCCTCCAGCCAATCGCGTACGAGTCCCGCAAGTTACACCCGCCCGAACGTAACTACCCGATACACGACCGCGAGATGCTAGCGATCGTGCACGCGTTCAAAGTTTGGCGATGTTACCTGACTGGTGCCGACGTGACAGTACGGACAGACCACCGCTCGCTACAGTACCTTCGCGCCCAACCGAATCTCAACCCACGACAGATTCGCTGGTTGGACTATCTCGAGTCCAATTTTCACTACACCGTCACGTACAAAAAAGGAGCATCCAACATCGCCGACGCTCTCACCCGCCCCACCGCCCAACTCCACGCCATCCTACTCGCCCAGACCAACCCGCTTTTAACTGGCCTATTCACCCACGGATACCGCACCGACCCATTTTTCACGACCGGAAATTCACAGCAACTGGCAGAAGCAAAAGGAGTTTATTACGTAAAAACAGGCACCAACCGCATTTGGGTACCCGCGTACTCACTACTGAGGGAGCTGCTGCTGCAGGAGGCACACGACGGGATTACCTCGGGACATTTCGGGGTAGAAAAAACACGACAGCAACTGCAGCGGTACTATTACTGGCCGGAGCTGTTGACCGACGTACAGCAGCACGTGGGCTCGTGCCCGACGTGTCAGGTGATGAAGAGTTCAAGGAAGCGGAAGGCGGGTCAATTGCAGCCGATCCCACCGCCCGAACGCGCCTGGCAGCAAGTAACCATGGACTTCGTCACAGGGTTACCTTCGAACCCTGGGGGTAACGACGCGGTGATGGTCGTCGTGGATAGGTTGACGAAGATGGCACACTTCGCTGTGTGCAAAAAGTCGATCTCAGCCGAAGAGACCGCTCGCCTGTTCATCGCAGCCGTTGTTCGCCTGCACGGGATACCAGCAGCAATTATCAGCGACAGGGACACGAAGTTTACCAGCAACTTCTGGAAGAACCTCTGGGAGCAGTTCGGGACCAGGCTACAGTTCAGTTCGTCGTACCACCCCGAGACCGACGGCCAAACGGAGCGGACGAATCAGACGATGGAGCAGTTGATTCGTGCCACGTGCGACGACCCCACGACCTGGGAGCAGCAGCTGCCGCTGATCGAGTTCGCGTACAACAACGCCACATCAGCCACGACGCAGCAGTCCCCGTTCTACCTGAACTATGGGCAGAACCCCACAGTGCCCATGACGCCGAGTCCGGACAACCCAACGCCACGCGCACAACAATTCGCCGAAATCCTGCAAGCTGCCCGCGCCAGAGCCGCCGAAGCAATAAAAAAGGCCAACGTCATCGCTAAGCGCAACGCTGATCGCCACCGCCGCCCCGTCACGTATCAATCTGGAGATTACGTGCTACTCGACACGCAAAATCTGCGACTGCCCGACGTACCAAAATTACGACCGCGCTACTGTGGACCATTCCAAATCAGTCACATGATCACACCCGTCACCGCGCACCTACTGTTGCCAATTGACTGGTACATCAGCCCTTCGTTCCACGTCAGCCTACTTCGCCCATACCTCCCGACCACGAGTCAACTGCCGCGTCACCGGCCACAATCAATGACTCGCCCTGCATCAGAGCCGATCATCGAGCCCGAAAAATTTTTGAGCCATCGGATCCGCCACCCCACGGGAATCAGGAGGATTGAATTCCTCGTTCGCTGGAAAGACCGCACGCCAACTGAAGATAGCTGGGTGCCCCTGAGCAACATCGAACATCACCCCGCCCTGCAAGTGTACTTGAGAAGCCGGGGATTCCGCGATATACACGCACTCGCGTAGCGGAGGGGGCTTCTTAAGGGGGGGGGGTAGTGTAAGGAATTTTCTCAGGCATTCCTTACGGAGCCGACTACATCGCGTACAGCAACAGCCGACTGTTCGCCCGTTACTGCTAACGGAACTTCGCCGACTTCGCGCGCACTGTTTTGCCAAACCTCGCACTGCTGGCATGGCCGTATCGGCCTACGCTTCGGGACTAGCCCGAGCCTCGCTCCAGCGTAGCACTAGCAAGTTCGCACGCACCGCGTTACCGTTTTGCATGTTTCGCGTATAAATGCTCGCTCATGCCTTCGCTCACATTTTGTACTCGTTTGACACCTTAGTGCAATTCTCGCTACCTCGATTCATTGCACCCGTAACAGTAGTTCAATGGCCAACGTTCTTCCAACTCGGAGAGGAAATTCCGACGAAACTCATAACCACAAGACGTCGCTGTTTTCGCATCGCACATGCGACTCGCGATCGCCCTGACCGACCACTCCAAGCAGTGCTTTCCCAGCGCAACACATGTGCGAGGCGATTTCTTTCTGACCGACGGCGTTCGCAGGGGGCCTCAACGTGTCGCCGATCATCCGCCATCGCAGAATTTGACAAATGCATTCGGGATTGAATGCACGCGACTCGGGTCGCCCAAATGCCGCCAAGAGAATTGTGAGCGAGCAATTTGCACAATTATATCAACAAATCGCGCCACCAGGCCAAAACTCAGCCCAGCTGTGCTGTGTGTCCCCCTCTCCTCGTTCCCATCAACTTCCTGATCATACCTCCCCTTACCCTCCTCCCTGCCCTGCAATGTCATTCGACATTCACTTTGTCATGGGAATAGCACGCGTCACCTCAACGACATAAAGCATGAACGAACAGTCTTATTTTCCGTTAGATGCTGATCCTGCCGAAGTGAAATCCGGACGATCGATCACTAGCTTTTTTTAGCAAGCCGGAGGACCGAAACCTGCTGCTAAATCATCTACTGGAATCGCCACTGAAAAACGATTTCTAGAAACCCGTTCTCACGCAAAGACACAGCTGGATTAACGTCAGCACTCTCCCCTTCTCACATGAGGCGAGGCCCGTCGCCATCGATGGCAACTTCTAGAGGCCGTCTTCCGTTGTACCGGCAGCCATGCCGACGCTCCGCGCTTTTACGACTCCTTGCCGCGCTCCTCCCCACACTTGCGCTCCTCGCGCAATCCTCCGCCTTCCATTCTTCCGCCCGATCGCGGAAAGCCGCGCACTGGCCCGGCCGATCGCTTGCCGGCAACAACTTGGCGCGCCACACTGCCCCCAGACCAGAAGACGTGATACCCTCGGATTTCGGGGGTAGATTCAGGGATCCCCATGGGCCCCTCGCTACAATGGCGTCTGCGATCACCCCTCAGGATGTCGAGATCGCTCGCGCTGTTGTCACAGCTGAGGCTACGTCGTTTCAGTCAACGCGGTCAACACAAGCCAGCATCAGCAGCAGCAAGACTCCGAGCCCAACGAAGGTTCCGAGCAAGAGCCCAGGTTCGCCGGCCAATACCAAGAGCCCGCCAAAGGGCACAAGTAATAAGAGCCCTCCTAAGAGCACTGGCAATAAAAGTCCGCCGAAGGGGGCGAACAGTAAGAGCCCACCTACAGCATCCAATCATAAAACCCCACCGAAGGCGAATGTCGGCAGTGCTTCAGCCCCGAAGCCCCCGCAACAGGCTTCCAAGTCCCCCCCGAAGCCGAACCCGCGCTCCCCGCCCGCTCAGAAGCCTCCCGCGCAGAATTCCCCGGCACCGCAACCTTCCGCTTCCCCCAAGAAGACTCCCCCCGGGAACCTTGAAACGACGCGGGCCGCAAGCGGAACGAGCGCGAGCGGAAGCACCGGGGCCAGCGGAAGCACGGGGGGAACAGGGGGAACTGTGTCGAGTGGCGGAACTGGTAGCAGTGCGGGAAATACCAGCGGGAGCAGTACTAGCAGTTCCGGGGCAACCGCGAGCAGCAGCAACAGCACGGGTTCATCGGGTAACACGAGCACCACGGGCAGCACAAAGAGCTCGGGCAGCAGCACGAACAGCACGGGCAGCACGGGCAGCACGGGCAGCAGCAGCTCCAACAGTACTGGAACTGGCAGCGGCAGCGGCGGTGGTAACTCGACCAGCGGCGCGAGAAGCGGGAGCAGCGGGGGAAATTCCACCAGCGGAACCGGGAGCGGAGGCGGAACCGGGAGCGGAGGCGGAACCGGGAGCGGAGGCGGAACCGGGAGCGGAGGCGGAACCGGGAGCGGAGGCGGAACCGGGAGCGGAGGCGGAACCGGGAGCGGAGGCGGAACCGGGAGCGGAGGCGGAACCGGGAGCGGAGGCGGAACCGGGAGCGGAGGCGGAACCGGGAGCGGAGGCGGAACCGGAAGCGGAGGCGGAACTGGAACCGGGGGCGGAAGTGGCAATTCAACGGACAAGCCATTCGTGTGGACGATCCCGCCGCGCAGGAAGGTGCCGGGAGTGGATAAGTCGTTCGACAAGTACTTCAAGTTCCCCGACTGGTGCAAGGAGAGCAACTGCCGCAAGGACAACAACGGGACTGTCACGCTCTCCGCCACCAACCAGTCCGTTGGAGGTAGGTTCAGCGCGGTGCAATGCGGCGAGAGGTGCTTGTATCACTTCTGAGAGTGCCGGGAGTGGATAAGTCGTTCGACTTCTAGTTCCCCGACTGGTGCAAGGAGAGCAACTGCCGCAAGGACAGCAACGGGACTGTCACGCTCTCCGCCACCCACCAGTCCGTTGGAGGTAGATGCAGCGTGGTGCAATGGGGTGTGTAGTGCATGAAAGAATGAGGTCCAGCTCACCCCACCCCCTTTGCCCGCACTCTGAGCGCATCGTCTCATGCGATCCCCACCCCACTCCCCAACTGCGCATGCGCACACGACACCCCTGAGAGCTTTCAGTCGTCTCAAAGTCCCACTCCGCCATTTCAACATTTCCCCCACCCCCCATCCTCCTCAACCCCCCACCCCCCAACCTCCTCAACCCCCCACCCCCCACCAGTGTTCTACTCCACAGACTGCAACAAGTACGGGGTTGTCTACAGCCTGCTCACCCCGCCAGCCCGTCACCCCCTCAGCCTCTCACCCCTTCACACCCCCACACCCCCCATCCCCCCACCCCCACCAGTATTCTACTCCAAAGACTACTACAAGTACGGCGTGTACAGCCTGCGCATGAAGCTCACAAATCAACCCCTCTCATCCCCCACCCACAACCCCACACCCCCTCAACCCCAACTCTCCCACCAGTCCTCTACTCCAAGGACTATCACAAATACGGCGTGTACAGCCAGCTCCTCACCCCCTCAGCCTCTCACCCCTTTTCCCTCACCCCACCTCCTCATCCCCCCACCAGTGTTCTACTCCAAGGACTACTACAAGTATGGAGTCTACAGCCTGCGCATGAAGCTGCCGAGCAACTACTCGGGCGGCATCATCCCGTGCTTCTACCTCATCTCGCCGGGCCCACAAGGCTACACAGACATTCACGACGAGATCGACTTTGAGTTCATCGGCGGGGAGAACCCCATGGATATCACCATCCATACGAATTTGATCACAGGCGGGCAGGTCAAGCTGGAGCAGTTCAAATTCCCGTTCGACCCGGCCGCGGATTTCCACACGTACTCGCTAGTGTACTCTCCAATGTATATCATGTGGATGGTTGACGACTATCCGATACGGATCACCGTCAACGAGACCGGCCATCCGTTCCCAACGCTCCCCATGGAATTCAAGGTATGCCCTGCTACTTGCAGGGTTTTTAAGTGAGCCAGTGTATTGTTATTGTTTTTTCCAGCATTTTATCCAGCCCCTGCCTGCCCTCCAGCTGTCCTACCCTTAACAAACTTCCAACTCATACCTTCCTTTGACATCTGTGCCCCCTTTCGCAGGCTTCGATATGGGACTCCTCGTCGTGGAGCTGGCTCAAGGCGAACTACAGCAACGGCCCAATTCAAGCGCAGTACCGCGAGTTTGACTTCTCCCGCTCCTGCCAGATGCCTCAAGACCTCTCTGAACCGCCCTGTCTGCGCCTTCGCTCGTCCAAGCATGCCCCGTGGCTGTCCAAAATGACTCTGCCACAGCTCAGAAAGGAGAGGGCGTTTAAAAAGTTTTACACCAAGAAGATTTACGACTGGTCTGAGGCCAAGTGAGGAGGGATGACTAATCCATTTTTGGCCTACTCTTCGACCGAGGCCAAGCAAGTGCAGGCATGGGGCAGCCTTGCGGAAGGCACTGATTTCTGTGCTGGCCTGGGGCTCATATACTTGTGGCTGCTTGTGGCTGCAGTGGGCACAAATAGCATTATTGCTCAACATTTTGTGGGATGGGGGGAGCCTGGGTGGGGATGCTTAAGCTATGCTGTGAAGAGATGTTTATCCCATCGGCTCGATGGACGACATTTATGTTTTTTTTTGTTTTTTTTTTTTTGTTTTTTTGCAATAATAAGGGCCTACAACATCGAGGTTAGTGGCTCAAATGCTTCAAAAATATGAAATCAAGAGTTGGGAGAGTAAGAATCTGAGTAGTGTTGACCCAAGAGTACATTGTAATCGTTGCTTTTATCGCATTAAGCTTTAATTTTGCTGCCACTCCATTCCTCTCTAACGATGACGCGTACATGTCGTCACCTCGGAACATTACCACGTCACCACGCTCTCCCTGTCAAAACAAGATCCCCCGACCCATTGGCCTGCGAGAGAGGCTAGAACATACATCTTCTATCTAGTCGATTCATTCTCCGAGTGTATTTTTCTGTACTGACCCTGCTGTCCGACTGTCGTCGTGCGCGACCATACCCTTCCCCCACACCCACCCACACGCGCACTCAACGGCACACAGCATCGCTGCATAGCCGTCGCTCGCGCCTCGCTCCCCCCTCGCGCGCCTCTAACATCGTCCACGCCTCTCCTCCCGCCTCCCCCTTCGCGCGCCGCCCCACGCCGCCCCAGGCTCCCCACACCACCACCACCACCGGCGCCGCTGCATACTCACGTCTCACGCTCCACGCGCGCCGACCCTCGTCGCGCTCCTGCGCGTAGCGTCCATGGCCTCGTCACGCATCTCGCTCCAAGCGCGCCGATCCTGCTCTCTCACGCGCGCGCTTACATCGAGACACGGTCTATGGACGCCCCACGCACCCTTCGCTTTATGCACATCCGCGTTAAGCACGCCATTCGCGAGCACACCTTGCGCCAGCAGCGCAAACGGCGGGGCTCATTCCCGTAGCTACTCCTCTGCTGGTGACGTGGCGGATGCTGACGTGTCACCGGGGGAACAGGCGGGGCGGAAGGCGGCGGCGGAGCTGCAGGTGCTGGGGGTGGTGGGCGCGGGGCAGATGGGGAGCGGAATCGCGCAGCTGGGAGGTGCGCGTGGGGCGGGCATTTGGGGCGAAATGGGAGGGGGGGAGCGGGAGTGAGAGCGGTGCGGGGATGTGCGTGGTGGTGGAGGACGTGAGTGCGACGGCGCTGCCCGCAGGCCTCTTGCAATGAATCCTGCTCAATCCGCATCCCCTCCATCCATCCCCCTCTCGCTCCCGCTCCCCTGTCCCTCCACGGCAGCCATGGCAGGGATGCGAGTGGTGGTGGCGGACACGAGTCGAGCAGCACTGGATGCATGTATGGCCGGCATCAAGCACTCCCCTCCCCCCTCCCCCTCCCCCTTCCCTCCTTCCCCCGTCCCCCCTTCCCCCCCTCCGCTACCCCTCCCCCCACGGCAGCCATGGCGGGGATGCGAGTGGTGGTGGCGGACACGAGTCTAGCAGCGCTGGATCACTGCATGGGCGGCATCAAGCACTCCCTGGGGCGCCTTGTTAGCAAGGGGCGACTTGATGAGGTGGGTGGGTTGCGGGGAGGGGAATGGGAGGGAGGCAGGGGGACATGGGGACATGGGGCATGTCTGCATGCATGGGCGGCCCTGGGGCCCCTTGTTAGCAAAGGGCGGTTGGATGAGGTGGGTGGGGAGGGGAAAGTCAGGGGGAAGGCAGGGGAAAGGCAGGGGGAAGGCAGGGGGAAGGCAGGGGGAAGGCAGGGGGAAGGCAGGGGGACATGGGGTCGTGGATGGCCGGCATGAAGCACTCGCTGGGGCGCCTGCACACCACCCCAGAGCTGACTCCTTTGGAGCAGTCAGGCTTGGTTGTGGAGGCCGTGGCGGAGAGGAGAGGAGAGCAAGGCAGTGAAGCGCATTCTCATATGTGAACCCCGCCCCCTCCACGCCCCTTCTTTCTTCTGCCTCACAGGCAGCACCACCAGCGGCAACACTAACCCGGATTCGCACCACCCCAGAGCCGAGTCCGTTGGAGCAGGCAGACTTGTTTGTGGAGGCCAGCAGCCCCAGCGAGCCATGGGGGAGAGCGAGCCATGGGGGAGAGCGAGCCATGGGGGAGAGCGAGCCATGGGGGAGAGCGAGCCATGGGGGAGAGCGAGCCATGGGGGAGAGCGAGCCATGGGGGAGAGCGAGCCATGGGGGAGAGCGAGCCATGGGGGAGAGCGAGCCATGGGGGAGAGCGAGCCATGGGGGAGAGCGAGCCATGGGGGAGAGCGAGCCATGGGGGAGAGCGAGCCATGGGGGAGAGCGAGCCATGGGGGAGAGCGAGCCATGGGGGAGAGCGAGCCATGGGGGAGTGCGAGCCATGGGGGAGAGCGAGCCATGGGGGAGAGCGAGCCATGGGGGAGTGCGAGCCATGGGGGAGAGCGAGCCATGGGGGAGAGCGAGCCATGGGGGAGAGCGAGCCATGGGGGAGAGCGAGCCATGGGGGAGAGCGAGCCATGGGGGAGAGCGAGCCATGGGGGAGAGCGAGCCATGGGGGAGTGCGAGCCATGGGGGAGAGCGAGCCATGGGGGAGAGCGAGCCATGGGGGAGAGCGAGCCATGGGGGAGAGCGAGCCATGGGGGAGAGCGAGCCATGGGGGAGAGCGAGCCATGGGGGAGAGCGAGCCATGGGGGAGAGCGAGCCATGGGGGAGAGCGAGCCATGGGGGAGAGCGAGCCATCGGGGGAGAGCGAGCCATGGGGGAGAGCGAGCCATGGGGGAGAGCGAGCCACTGGGGGAGAGCGAGCCATGGGGGAGAGCGAGCCATGGGGGAGAGCGAGCCATGGGGGAGAGCGAGCCATGGGGGAGAGCGAGCCATGGGGGAGAGCGAGCCATGGGGGAGAGCGAGCCATGGGGGAGAGCGAGCCATGGGGGAGAGCGAGCCATGGGGGAGAGCGAGCCATGGGGGAGAGCGAGCCATGGGGGAGAGCGAGCCATGGGGGAGAGCGAGCCATGGGGGAGAGCGAGCCATGGGGGAGAGCGAGCCATGGGGGAGAGCGAGCCATGGGGGAGTGCGAGCCATGGGGGAGAGCGAGCCATGGGGGAGAGCGAGCCATGGGGGAGTGCGAGCCATGGGGGAGAGCGAGCCATGGGGGAGAGCGAGCCATGGGGGAGAGCGAGCCATGGGGGAGAGCGAGCCATGGGGGAGAGCGAGCCATGGGGGAGAGCGAGCCATGGGGGAGAGCGAGCCATGGGGGAGAGCGAGCCATGGGGGAGTGCGAGCCATGGGGGAGAGCGAGCCATGGGGGAGAGCGAGCCATGGGGGAGAGCGAGCCATGGGGGAGAGCGAGCCATGGGGGAGAGCGAGCCATGGGGGAGAGCGAGCCATGGGGGAGAGCGAGCCATGGGGGAGAGCGAGCCATGGGGGAGAGCGAGCCATGGGGGAGAGCGAGCCATGGGGGAGAGCGAGCCATGGGGGAGAGCGAGCCATGGGGGAGAGCGAGCCATGGGGGAGAGCGAGCCATGGGGGAGAGCGAGCCATGGGGGAGAGCGAGCCATGGGGGAGAGCGAGCCATGGGGGAGAGCGAGCCATGGGGGAGAGCGAGCCATGGGGGAGGGAGTGCCGAGGGGGGGAGCGAGCCATTGGGGGAGAGCGAGCCATGGGGGAGAGCGAGCCATGGGGGAGTGAGCCATGGGGAGAGCGAGCCATGGGGGAGAGCGAGCCATGGGGGAGAGCGAGCCATGGGGGAGAGCGAGCCATGGGGGAGAGCGAGCCATGGGGGAGAGCGAGCCATGGGGGAGAGCGAGCCATGGGGGAGTGCGAGCCATGGGGGAGAGCGAGCCATGGGGGAGAGCGAGCCATGGGGGAGAGCGAGCCAGTGAAGCCCGTACTTCCCCCCTTCCGCAACTTCCCTTGCTTTTGGCGGGCAGCAGCGGCGGCGGCAGCACTAGATTGGATTCGCACCACCCCAGAGCCGACTCCTTTGGAGCAGGCAGACGTCATAGTCGTGGAGGCGGTGGCAGAGAGAGACAGTGCGGTGGTGAAACACGTTCTTCCCTTCCAACAGCTCTCATATGTGAACGCCCTAAAGTTCTCATACGTGAGCGCCCTCATACGTGAACCCCGTTTGCCACGCCCCTGCTTTCGTCTTTCGCCCAGGCAGCAGCAGCGGCAACACTAACCCGTATCCGGACCACCCCAGAGCTGACCCCTCTGGAGCGAGCAGACTTGCTAGTAGAGACCGTGGCAGAGAGCGAGGCGGTGAAGCCTCGTGCAGCCTACCTCAATGCAGCCCACACCCCATCCCCCACGCCGCATCCCCCACGCCCCTTTCCCAGGCAGCAGCAGCGGCAACACTAACCCGGATCCGCACAACCCCAGAGCTGACTCCTTTGGAGCAGGCAGACTTTATAGTTGAGGCGGTAGCAGAGAGCGAGGCGGTGAAGCGCAACGTGATTGGCCGACTGGACGGCATCGCCCCGCACCACGCGGTGCTCGCGAGCAACACCTCCTCCATCTCCATCACCCGCCTTGCTGCTGCCACTAGCCGACCCGATCAGGTGAGTCAGGGCGCATGAGAGACAGGCGGTGTGATGAGCGGGCTGGACGGCATCGCCCCACACCGCGCTGTGCTGCCCAGCAACACGTCTTCCATCTCCATCACCCGCCTTGCTGCCGCCACTAGCCGACCCGATCAGGTGAGCTGTCTATCACCCTGCCTGCCCCGCACCCCCAACATTGCAGCATTGCCCCGCACCACGCTGTGCTGCCCAGCAACACTTCCTCCATCTCAATCACCCACCTTGCCGCTGCCACCACCCGACCCGATCAGGTGAGCGAGGGCCGCCACCGCACTGTGCTGGTGAGTTAGGTGAGTTAGCCTCAGGTGATGAGCCGGGTGGACGGCATTGCCCCGCACCTCATTTTGTTTGAGGTTGGTTTTGAGAATTCTTAAAATCAACCGTGCTGGTGAGTAGGTGAGTTAGCCTCAGGTGGTGAGCCGCCTGGATTGCATCGCCCCACACTAGGCAGCGCTGGCGAGCAACACGTCGTCCATCTCCATCACCCGCCTTGCTGCTGCCACCAGTCGACCTGATCAGGTGAGGAGAGCAGGTCAGCAGTCTATCACCCCACCTGCCCTGCTCCACACTTAGATGGCTCATGCCGCATGTCCCCTTCCAACCCCCCCCACATTCCAATGCCCTTCCCGCCAATGCCATTCCAATGCCCTTCCAATGCCCATTCCAATTCAGGTGATCGGCATGCATTTCCTGAACCCACCTGTCATCATGTCGCTCATTGAGGTGGTGCGGCATGTGGCCTGCCACATGCCACACCGTGATGCCACTCTATTGCCCTTCAAACTGCCCCCGTTTCCCCCCCATACCCCCTTCCCCCCATACCCCCTTCAGGTGATCGGAATGCATTTCATGAACCCACCTGTCATCATGTCATTGGTGGAGGTGGTGCCAGGGCTTGCCACGTCAGACCACACGCTGCACCTCACCAAGGGCCTCGCGCACAGGTGGGGGGGATTGGTGTGGATGGGGATAGGGGATGGGCGCATAGGTGGGTGGGTGGGATGGGTGCACTGGCGGGGGGAGGATGGGGATGGGTGCACAGTTGGGAAGGAGAGTGGGTATGCACGGTGGTAGGCCAATCAATATTGTTGAACATGCCTTTGCTTTTCTCCTGGCTCACTGCGTGTTCCACTGCCCCTGCGTGCCCTTCCTTCCCCTCGCCCGACCCTGCCGTCCAGGTTCGGGAAGGCGGTGTGTGAGGCGCGGGACTACCCGGGGTTCATAGTGAATCGCCTGCTCATGCCCATGATCAACGAGGCCTTCTATGCCCTTTTAGAAGGGGTCGGCACTGCACAGGACATTGATAGGGGCATGAAGCTGGGCACTAATCAGGTGGGTGTTGTTGTTGTGCCTGTGCCTCCCTCTGCTCATGCCCATGATCAACGAGTGCGCTGCTGGAGGGCGTGGGCACGGCCCAGGACATTGACAGAGGCATGAATCTCGGTACCAACCAGGTGGGTGCTTATTGCATTGTGCGTTTTCCTGCATTTCACTGCTCATGCCCATGACCAACGAGGCCTTCTATGCGCTGCTGGAGGGTGTTGGCACGGCCCAGGACATTGATAGAGGGATGAAGCTCGGCACCAACCAGGTGGATCATACCAATGAGGGCATAGACCTGTTCATGCCTCCCCCCGCCTCTCACTGCTCATGACCATGATCAACGGGCCTTCTATGCGCTCCAAGAAGATGTTGGCACTGTACAGGACATCGACAGAGGGATGAAGCTTGGCACGAATCAGGTGGGTCTTGCTTTCTCATCTTTTTACCTCCGCCTGCTCATGCGCATGATCAACGTGACATGAGCAAGACCCATGTGATCAACAGGGCCTTTTATATGCTCTGCTGGAAGGGTCGGCTCGGCATGGGTCACGACATTGATAAGGGTATAGAGCTCGGCACCAAGCAGGTGGGTCATGCCTATGAAGGCATGGTGTTGTTCATGTGACTGCTGAGTGCTGCATTTCGCTCTAGGCCGCTGCTCTCGTCCCAACCCGCTCTCTACCACCTGCTCCTCCCCCCATGTTTCAGCCCATAGGACCGCTACACCTGGCGGACCTGATGAGCTGGACACATGCGTTGCCATCATGCGAGTGCTGCATGCAGAGCTGGGAGATGCCAAGTACCGCCCCTGCCCTCTGCTCTCGATCCCCTCTGACCTCCACTGCTTGATACCCTCCTCTCCAACCCCATCTGCCCCCCATGCCGCAGCCCATGGGACCGCTACATCTAGCCGACCTGATAGGGCTGGACACCTGCGTGGCCATCATGCGAGTGTTGCATGCGGGATTGGGAGACGCCAAGTACCGCCCGTGCCCGCTGCTCGTGCAGTATGTTGATGCCGGGTGGCTGGGTCGCAAGAGTGGGCGCGGCGTGTATGAGTATCCAAAACAGGAGGAAGGGAAGAGGGAAGGGGAAGTGGAGGGGGAGGGTGGGGGGAAGACGGTGAGAGGGAGACAGCTGGCGGGTAGACGGACTGCGCACTAGGATTAGTGCTGCATGCAGGGCAGGCGGAGATGGTGAGGAGACGCCAAGTACCACCCGTGCCCGCTGCTCGTGCAGTATGTTGATGCCGGGTGGCTTGTCTGCAAGACTGGCCGCACCGTGTAGTACCCCAGGCCGGTGGAGGTGGGACGGGAAGGCGAGGTGGAGGGGGGGGGGGGGGGGGGGGGGGGGGGAGGAGAAGACAGTGAGAGGGAGACAGCTGGCGGCCTGATGGGCTGGGCACTAGCACTGATGCCGCACGCAGGGCTGGGCACTAGCATTGGTGCTGCATGCAGGGCTGGGCACTAGCATTGGTGCTGCATGCAGGGCTGGGCATTAGCATTGGTGCTGCATGCAGGGCTGGGCACTAGCATTGGTGCTGCATGCAGGGCAGACGGAGGAGGTGAGGAGGAGAGGGCAATGGGAGACAGCTGACGGCCTGATGGGCTGGGCACTAGCACTGATGCCACACGCAGGTCCGGGGGACGCCAACTTCGCTGCTCCTGCAGTACGTGGATGGGGGCTGGCTGGGTTGTAGGACTGGGAACGGCGCTTAGGAGTATTTACTAGGATGGGTGTGTTCTGGCGTGCCATGGGGATACCAAGGGAAAGTGTAGGGTATTTTAAGGAGGTCTAAAGAGGAGTTGAAGGCGATGCAGATCAATTGACAACTGTGCCACATGGGGTGTTGTTGATGCTTGTTGCAGGTGGTGAATGCAGGCAGGTGTTGGGAGGAAGAGGGTGTGGGTGCAGGAAGGCAGGGCAAGTGGTGGACGAGTTGTCTGCTTCTCAATAGTAGAATGGACTAAGCTACTAGCGGAAGCTTTAGTAGTCTTAGAACCTCCTCCTAAAACCTAGGAATCTTAGGAACCCACTTGGGCATGAACCATGCTAGAACCAAAGTGGTTTCCAAGAAGTGAAGTTCCAACAAGAGAGAACCGTAACCTAAAGGGTTTGGGAGGTGGTCCATTCTATAGAGTGTACACCACAAGTTCTCCCAATCCAACCAATGTATAGTGTAGATGTATCACTACATGTGTTTATTGGAGCAACCCAAATTAACCTTAATTCCAACACCTCCTCTTGCTCCAATAAGCATTAAAGTTCACCCATAAATCACAACACTGTTGGGCTGAGAAGCCCTAGGATCTTTGTAGAGTTTAAGGACTGAGTAGGATTGTAATAGCGGAAGCGTTGTAATACAGAGTGGTTGAACCACCTTGCACTAGTATGTGAGAGCAAAGTAAGTTAGATTAAACAAGCAAATACAAGGTTTATATAAGAGTACAAGGAATACGAATCGATAGATTTAAACCGTTTTACTGTTGCGATTCGATACAGTGCGACTCGGGCAACTGCTCAATGTCGAGTCAGTTGTGTGTCCTTGCTGTCGCGCTGTATTGGTCAAGTCAAAGGTCGCTGACCTTTGACCTTCGCGTAACCTCCAGGCGGTTACCCCAACCTCCGAGGGTTGACTCGCGATGCTTCGATTTGGACCGCTTCGCTAGTGTCCTGAGTTTCGGACACGACAGAGGCGCTTTAAGACTTATTGTTCCCAACACTCCCCTTCGCTTCTGGAGTGTCGCTGATGGTGACGTGGCCTTGTCCAGTCAGCAGCATGCAGTACTCGAACTTCTGTTTTCCGAGTTTCTTTGTCAAATAATCGGCTGCCATCTCGGACGTGGGACAGTAGGATAACTCGAGTCTTCCTTTCTCGATCTCGTCTTTTACGAAGAAGTATCGCAGAGCGATATGCTTCGTTCTGTTCGCGAATCCGTTTTTGTTGGCGATGCGAATTGCAGATTGGTTGTCGCAGTGCAGGGTGAAGCTGGGTAACTCAGCTAACTTTGCTTCTTCCAGCAGTTCGCGAAGGTAGAGTCCTTCCTTGGTGGCTGAGCAGAGGGCGATATATTCTGCTTCAGCTGAAGAGAGAGCGATTAGTTCCTGCTTACTCGACTGCCAGGAGATAGGTCCGATAGGCTCGAGACGATAGACGTAGCCGGTACGAGAACGCCTGTTATCAGAATCGCCGGCATGGTCAGCATCGACGTAGCCGATTAGTTTCGTCGTCGTAGCTTCGCCCTTGTGGTAAGTTAGGCCGATTGTCGGTGTGCTCACGAAGTAGTGCAATGCGCGATCGAGCTCCGCCATGTGCTCAGCTTCGGGTTTCTTGAGATAGGTGGCGAGTTGACTCGCGGAGTAGGATAGATCCGGGCGACAGGTTACGGCTGCGAAGAGGAGGCAGCCTAGTTTCCTCTGGTAGTCTCGTATTCCGGCGGTTTTTAGTAGGATGGAGTTTCCTTGGCCGTTTCCTGCCGTGTAGCGGTATGGCGTGGCGATAGCGGTAGGGATGAGCGAGAAGCGCTTGGCGATCGTGTCGGCGTATTTCTCGGCACTTAGATAGATTGCATCTTCTTCTTCGCGGATGTTGAGTCCAAGGTACTACGTGACGGTAGAAGAAACCGTGAGCGTGAGATCTTTCTGCAGTTCCCCTTCGAACCAGGTGGTGACGTCGTCGGTGGAGCCGATGTAGAGGAGATCGTCGACGTAGACGATGAGTAGGATATAGTTGGCACCTTTAGTGAGTCGGTACATGCCCTGGTCATGGGGCAGTTGGCGGAATCCGATGCGGATGAGGCGGGTGTGCAGGTGCTGTTGCCACAGCCGTGGGGCCTGCTTGATTCCGTAGAGGGACTTTAGCAGTTGGCAGACTTGATTGGGTTCCCCGTGGGTACCGTGAGGGAGCTCGACGAAGATGTCGGCGTTGACAGGTGCGTAGAGGAAGGCATTGGCGACATCAATCTGTCGCAGCTTCTTCTTCATGGCGGCGACGGCGAGAAGAATGCGGAGAGAGGTATGTCGACTAACTGGGGCGAAGGTCTTGGTGAAGTCTCGTCCTTGTTCCTGGTCAAATCCACGCACGACCCAGCGTGCTTTGAACTTCTCGATTGTGCCGTCAGCTTTCGTCTTGATGCGGAAGACCCATTTCCCGGTGAGAATGGTCTTGTTCCGTGCCACGCTTGCGGGAACGACCTTCCAGGTGTTGCGTTCCTCCAGTGCTTTTAATTCTCTGTCCATGGCTTCACGCCATTTTTCCCTGTGTTCCCCCCTAAGAACCTGCTGAACTGTCGCAGGCTCTTTAGGAAGAGTGTTGCCGGCGGTCCCGTGGACTGCGGTGACGAGGCCAAGGATTTGTAGCCCAGTCTGTGAGTATCGAGGGAGTTCTGGATCCTCGGGATAAGCTGATTCGTCTCCCGCTTCTGGGTCGGGGATGAAATTTGGCCCTATCCTTTCTGCTTCGTTGGTGTTGACTGTCGCAGGTGTTACGTAACCGTTGTCGGCGAAGTGGTAGAAGACTTCGGCGTTGTTACTGTCGCGAGGATTATCTTCATCCATGGGCACATCGACGGAGCAGTACGGGAGAGGTCCGGCTTCCTCCGATGCGTTGTCGACGTTCTGTTCATCCCAGTCTGCTTCGTCCGCTGCTGAGGCGAAGGCTCGGTCACCACTAAAACGACCTGTGGGGTCCCGATTCTCGTGCAAGTTGGCGAGGTACGTCTGAAGGGTGAGTCGTTCGTAGAAGATCACATCACGTGCTGCTACTGTTTCTTTTGTGTGGACGTCGAAGATTCTCCACACGTTGTAATTTTTCTCGATGCCGAGGTGTAGTCCCCACTGTGCCCGTTGCGAAAATCTTCCCGCTCGTGCTTCTGGGGGTCGGTACTGTACCATGCACCCAAATACTCGTAACATTTTTGTGCTGCCCTGCTTTCCTGTCCACAGCAGATTCGGTGATGCGTTGTTCGGGAGTGACGACGACGAAAGCAAGTTGTGCAGCATGACAGCATGGTCCATTGCTGCTGGCCACTGGTGGTTGGGTAGCCGCATGCCACGTAGTAGTTTGCGCATGCTGTTCTGCAGGGTCCTGTTCATTCTTTCTGCAACACCCTGCTGCTGATGTGCGTAGGGAAGGGAGAGGAGTTGCTTGATCCCCCTTTCCGCCAGGTACTGCTTGAAGCGCTGAGAGGTGTATTCGCCACCTCCGTCTGACTGGAAGCTTTTCAGCTGCGTTCCTGATTCCCTTTCTGCTACTGGTAGCCAAGCGGCGAATGCTGCGAGTGCCATGTCGCGGCTGGGTAGGTTGCGATGCCAGACGTATCGAGTGGCGGCGTCGATGAAGGTAATCGTGTAATTATAGGTTACTTGGCCTGGTTCTCGATTGTAGAGGATGTCGCTGTAGACTTTTTCGAGTGGTGCGTATGTGAAGTAAAGAAAACAGGAATGAAATGACTAAGGAAAGATTGGGTACAAATACAACCCTAGAAAACCTGTACCCCATATGTGCTACCCCACTATAGCCTACAGCAACTATGTCATATAAATCTGACACACCCCCATAGGCAAAGTGGGGGAGAACAAGGGGTCACAAGACCAGTCAAGCAAAGCAAAGCAAGCTCAGGGTGGATCACAAAGTCACCACACAGTCCGAGCACAAGAGTAGGGCCAGAGGCCAGTTCACATGCAGGAGTACAGACATATATATAAAACTAGACAAGCAAGAGCAGGCATATATATATGTCACAGTACAAGTGAAGTCAAGAGGAGAGCAAGTGAGGCAAGACAGGCACAAGACCCAGCTGGGTGCAAAAGCGCTGATGGTCACAAGGCGCGAGTGCCTTGGTGAACACATCAGCAGTGTTGGCCTCAGAGGCCACGTACGCAAGTCGCAACTGACCACGCTGCTGCAGCTCACGAGCAAGGAAGTAGCGGAGAGCAATGTGCTTCGTTCTGTGCTCCAAGCGCTGCTCTCGACACAAGGCCAGCATGGCCTTGTTGTCTACGTACAGCACCGGAGGAGAACGAGGCGGCTCTCCAAGGTCAGTCAGCAGGTAGGTGAGCCAGCGAAGCTCCTGTGCAGCCATGGCCCCGGCGTAGATCTCAGCCTCACAACTGGAGCCGAGAACCGAAGACGAGCGAGTAGACCGCCACGAGACAGAGCCGGAACCAAGGCTGAAGGTGTAACCCTGTGACGACCGCTGCGTAGCCTGGTCGTCAGCCCAAGAAGCGTCCGCGTGGCCGGTAAGGACCACTGGACTCCGCCCTCCAAGCACTAGCCCCATGCCCGACGTACTGCACAGGTAGCGCAATACCCTCTTCGCTGCAGCCATGTGCTCCGGTCTGTGTCTCCCAGGAGCAACATAGCGAGCAAGAATGCTCAGAGGGTATGCAAGGTCAGGTCGTGTGCAGGTCATCAGGTACATGAGGCAGCCAACAAGCTCTGCATACGGACCACTCGACTCTACGGACTCATCCGAAGGCAGAGCTGAGAGTGAGTGGCGAGTAGGCAGAGGAGTGGCCTGAGGCGAGGAGTACGTGAAGCCGAAGCGCTGAAGGACCTGCTGCACCATGTGTGACTGAGTCAAGGTAATGGTGCGGCGTGCTCTGTCCCGAGTGATCTGCAAGCCAAGGAAGCTGCGCAGTTCACCCAGGTCTGTGCACGTGTGTCTCTTCAGCAGCTCGGACTTCACGTAGGCGAGTCCAGCAGTGTCCGCTGTGGCAAAGACCAAGTCGTCGACGTACACGAGGATGTAGAACGGCGGCAGGGAAGTGTCGGTGCGAAGAAACAGCGACGGGTCAGCAGTAGAAGGAGCAAACCCAAGAGCCGCAAGCGTAGTCCTCAGTGTGTCGTGCCACTCACGCGGTGCCTGGCGGAGACCGTAGACTGGCCGTCGGAGGCTCCACTGGGTGCCAGGAGGGAAAGTCCCAGTGAAGCCAGGTGGACGGCGAAGCCAGATCTCCTCGTGCAGGCTACCCTGCAAGAACGCAGTGCTGAAGTCGAGAGAGTGAAGCTCGTAGTCGCGCTGAGCGGCTATGTGCAGCAGCACCCGAAGAGTAGTCATCTTCGGGGTGGGAGAGAAGGTCTGAAAGTAGTCAACTCCCTGCCGCTGACTGAAGCCACGAGCAACGTACCGTGCCTTGAAGACAGGTGGAGAGCCCGGCGGCCGCTTCACCCTGAAGATCCACATGCCACTGACGATGTTCGCCCCAGGAGGGGGAACCGCGTCAACGTAGGTGCCTGTGGACTTCCAGGAAGCCATCTCTGCATCCATAGCTGCCTGCCACTGAGAGGAGTAGGGACCCTCTACGGCCTCGGGGGAGGAACCGGCACAAGGAAGTCCGGGGGAGGGGGGAGGGAAGGAGTGCGGTAGGGGAAGAGACGGTAGAAGGGGACTGACTCGTCGAACGTGACGTCCTGGGAGGACAGAACACGACGAGAGGAGGGGTGGTAAAACTGCCACCCTGGGGCGTCAGTGGGGAAGCCAAGGAAGACACAGGGAGCAGCGCGAGGGGACAGCTTGTCCGCAGACAAGTTGCGGACAAACGCCCGAGATCCCCAGACACGGAACACAGACGCATCGCCAACCTTCCCCGTCCACAGCAAGGCTGGGGACATCGCAGGCCGAGAGACCCGGGGGTGAAGGTTGAGCTGATGCGCCGCGTACCTCACCGCAAACGGCCACAGAAAATGGGGGGCAGCCGCATGCATCATGGACGTACGAGCGACATCCATGACCATGCCAATGCGGCGCTCAGCAATCCCATTTTGCTGTGGTGAGTCCGGAAGCGTGAAGGTCTGGCGGATCCCCCGTGCACGACAGTAGTCTCGCAGAAGGCGAGAAGAGAACTCTCCGCCTCGGTCAGAGTGCAGACGCAGAACAGGAAAGTCCGAGCCGAAGCTCTTCCTGAGCTGGAGACGAGCCTCGCGGATCCACTCGATCAGCACCTCAGTGACCGCACCCTTGCTGCGCAAGGGGAGGACTGTGGTGTAACGCGAGTAGTCGTCAACCACCAACAGGAAGTAGCGCTCGTAACCCTGCCCACGGATGGGGGCTGGGCCCCACACATCCATGTGAAGCGTCTGCAGGGGAGCCTCTGTCGGGGGGAAGTGGGAGGAGTGAGGAGTAGCCCGGAGGCGACCCTCAACACAGGGGACACAGGAAGGTCCTGGCCCGGAGGGGAGAGGAGGGAGAGACTGGGGAAGACCAGAGACAAGGACACGGGAAGCCATGCTCCGAAGACGGGGCAAGGAGGGGTGGCCAAGACGGTGGTGCCACAGGAGAGTCTCGTGAGACAGGAGGCGACAAGAACAGGGGGCAGACTCAGGACCTGACCGGGACGCAGCAGCAAGTACCTGACCCGACGCAGCCACCTGACCAGACGCAGGGACAGGAGGAGACTCAACGGTCAGAGTGTAGAGACTCGACCCCGGCCGACGCGAGAACGTGGCCAGGTGTCGGCCTGTGCGTGCCTCCGTGCAGTGGGTCACCCGCTGACTCGCAGGAGTGAACTGGTGAACACCCCCATCCTGCAGGTCTGCTCCACTCACCAAGTTCGTAGAGAACGAGGGAAGGTACAGACCCGACAGGGTGCCCGAAGGGGCAGCCGGACACGGGAGGACAGTGGAGAAGTGAGACAGGACAGGACCCCCAGAGGGGTCAGCAAGGGAGACCGCAACCGGCCGGCCAAGCGGCGTAAGGGTAGTGCGGTCTCGAAAGAAGGAGCGAGAAGCTCCGGAGTCAAGTGTGAAAGTGAGGGAGGACGAGGACGACTCAGTACCTGAGAGCGCAGTCTCACCAGTACCTGAGAGCGCAGACGCACTGGCACCTAGAGCAGCAGCCTCACAAGCACCTAGCGCAGCAGGACCAATGCCCGGGTCGGGCTGGAAACAGCGGTAACCCTCATTCTCCTCACTATAATCCACAACATACATAGCAGTAAGGATAGCATCAAAATCAAGATCAAAGATCGCTACACCAGCCCTGAGAAGCTCATCCCAGCGAGGGATCTCACTAGCCCCAGGGAACTGCTGACGCCAGGCGTCCGTCAGGCGGCCAAAGCAGCGCTGGGTCGCGTGGGCACCCCCACACTGCTCACCCGCGCGGTCGCCGGAACGAAGAACGTAGGTGCAGGGACCAGTACCCCCACCCCTCTGACGCCCAGCGTACCACTCACGAAGCTGCTGAGGCGAAGGGATGTCCCGAGAGCGCTGCTGCTGCTGCCGCTGCGAGCGCTGGCCACCACCACCGCCGCTACGCTGCTGGGTACCACCCCGACCAGATCCACCCCCTCCACCACCACTGCCTCCTCCGCTGCCGCCTCCACCGCCTCCACCTCCGCCGCCTCCACCTCCGCCGCTGCCTCCACCACCACCGCTGGCACCACCACCACCGTCTCCGCCGCTGCTGCCACCACCACCACCACCCCCGCCACTAGCCCCGCCGCCACCCCCACTCCCTCCGCCGCCACCGCCGCCACCGCCACCGCCCCCTCCAGCTCCACCCGCGCCCTTGCCCCCCTTGCCCTTGTTGGAGCGACGTCTCCCACTAGGGGCAGACGCCGCGCCGACCGACTCTAGACCAAGCAGGTCGGCAGCAGCAGCAGAGGCAACAGAGGGCAGCAAGGGGGAAGGAGAGCACCCCTCAAAGATGGGGGTGCGAGGGTCACCACGAGAAGCACCTACAGCGACGATGCTCTTCTCCGCTGCGAGGAGGGCCTTCTCGAGGAGGTCGACGGAGAGGGTGGTGGGACAGACTGCGAGAAAGTGGTCCCTGACGACTCGAAGGGAGTCAGGGAGGCGCGCGACTACGTAGTAGAGAGCGATGTACATGGGGGGGGGGTTCTTAGCGCAGAACTCAGCAGGAAGGGCGGCGCGGTAGCGAGTGTCACTAGTGCGGAGGTGCGTAATGAGGTCAGCGACAGTGGGAAAGGCAGAGAGGTCAGGAAAGAGGTAGGGAAGCATGAGACGGCTCAGTGCAGCAGTGGCAGGGGAGGAGTAGCGCGCAACTACAGCGTCGTACAAGGTCTGAGCACTCTTGTACTGACTGAAGTGCGCACGCTCAGAGGTAGGGAGGTGGCGACGCACAGCAAGACGTGCAGCAGCATCGCGGGTGGCCCACTTAGAGCGGACAGCGGGCTCAGCATCAGCAGCAGGAGCAGGAGAGGCGCCAGAGGTGAGATCAAAGAGAGAAAGGTCGTCAGCCCTGTCGCACTGTAAGAACAGCTGCAGGTCGTCTAACCAGACCTCAAAATCAATGGCGCGACCCTCAGCGTCAAAAGCTAGGACACTAGGGGTAGCCATGGCGACGACAGCGACGCAGTGCTAGCAGCAGGGAAAGAGCTCGCAGTGTCAGTGGGACTGTGCTCACCAGGCAGGGCAGGTCGTGTAGGTATGCAGAAAGGCGGCTCGGGTGCTGGGCGGCTCGGCTGCTGGGCGGCTCGGGCGCAGGGCGGCTCGGCTCCCGGGCTGCTCGGCGGCTGGGCGGCTCGGGTGCAGGGCGGCTCGGCTCCCGGGCGGCTCGGCGGCAGGGCGGCTCGGCTCACGGGCGGTTCGGCTGCTGAGGCGGCTCGGCCAGGAGATGCAGGGGCGGGGCCGTCAGGTGCAGCGGCGGGTTGACCGGTGCAGTGGCGGGCCGGCAGGTGCAGAGGCGGGCCGGCAGGTGCAGTGGCGGGCCGGCAGGTGCAGCGACGGGCCGTAGGGTGCAGTGGCGGGCCGTAGGGTGCAGCGGCGGGCCGGCAGGTGCAGCAGCGAGGCCGGCAGGTGCAGCGGCGAGGCCGGCAGGTGCAGTGGCGGGCCGGCAGGTGCAGCGGCGGGCCGTAGGGTGCAGTGGCGGGCCGGCAGGTGCAGCGGCAGGCCGGCAGGTGCAGCGGCGGGCCGGCAGGAGAGGCGGCAGGGCCGCGTTAGGGGAGGCGGCAGGGCCGCGTCAGGGGAGGCGGGGGAGCCGCGTCAGGGGAGGCGGCGGTGCCGCGTCAGGGGAGGCGGGGGAGCCGCGTCAGGGGAGGCGGCAGGGCCGCGTCAGGGGAGGCGGCGGGGCCGCGTCAGACAGGCGGCGGGGCCGCGTCAGGAGAGGCGGCGGAGCCGCGTCAGGGGAGGCGGCGAGGCCGCGTCAGGGGAGGCGGCGGAGCCGCGTCAGGGTAGGCGGCGAGGCCGCGTCAAACAGGCGGCGGGGCCGCGATCAGGAGAGGTGGCGGGGCCGCGTCTGAGGGACAGCGGGGCCGCGAGGGAAAAGGCGACCCGAGGGGGTCGCTAAAAAAAAGGCGCGCCTCGGGGCGCGCTTCGGTGGGCCCTAAAAAAAAACGGTCCTAAGGTAGGACCCGCTCTATACCATGTGAAGTAAAGAAAACAGGAATGAAATGACTAAGGAAAGATTGGGTACAAATACAACCCTAGAAAACCTGTACCCCATATGTGCTACCCCACTATAGCCTACAGCAACTATGTCATATAAATCTGACAGCGTATGCAGGTGCGCTCGGGTTGTGGTGAGAAGAAAAGGGTCGATGTGGTAAGTCGGCCTCGGGGCAGATGAGGCAAGTCCCCGGTGCACGTTGAAGTTCTCTGCCGTCGAGTAGTAGTAGCGAGTCTTTGTCTAGCACTCCTGCTCGTATCGTATTATTTAACACCGTGTTACTTGGATGTCCTGTGCGTGCGTGCCAGATGTCTTCGGAGGCGCGGTGTCCGGGTGAACGTTGATATGCGTCGGAGTTGGAGTAGAAGCTGGCGACGAAGTTGGCGCTGCGGTGGACTTCTCGTTGAGTCGGGTTCAGCTGTTGTGCTGGTGTTGGTGGTGTTTCGTCGACGATGACTGGTGTCGTTGTTCCTGCTGCTGCCGATGTTGTTGCTGCTGCCGATGTTGTCTCTGCTGCTGCCGATGTTGTCTCTGCTGCTGTCGATTTTGTATCTGCTGCTGCCGATGTTGTCTCTGCTGCTGCCGATTTTGTATCTGCTGCTGCCGATGTTGTCTCTGCTGCTGTCGATTGTTGAATTGTTGCTAATGCTCGTGTTCGCTCTTCTTCAGGGATGGTGTGTGAGTACCAGAAGCCTCCTGGACTGAAATCAGGATCGAGGTCCGGAGGGTGTGTCCAGTCGGTAAAGTTGACGATGGCGTCGCTGTCTGCAGTGCCCAGGTCGGGGACGAAGTCAAGAACGAAGACGTTATTCTTCAACACTGCTTTCCCGATGTAGAGGCCGCCCCTCCCGTGGTATAACTTAAATTCCTGGGTGGTGCTGTCGGCTTCCAAGTGAATCCCCTTCGCCATCAGCTGGCTAACACTCAGTAAGTTGTAACCGAGTCCTTCTGCGATGAGTACTTTTGACATGTGTAGTATAACGTTGGTCTCTCTTGATTGAAGCTGAACGACTCCTTGTCGTCTTGTGCGCAGGTTCTGGTTGTTGGCGACTGTTATGACTACTTCTCGCTGGAGTCGATGTTCGCGTTGTACGAAGCGCCCGGAGGAGCACATGTGTTGTCCGCAGCAACTATCCAAGAACCAAGTGTCTTGGCCGGACGGTTCGCTTTGAGCGATGGCGACGTACGTCGGATTCGGCTGGAGTGATTCGCGGCGAGGCGTCCTGTTGTCGAGCTCCTCTTCTGGTGGGTAGTAGGGTGGCGACTTTGTAATGCAGGAATCGTTTATCTTTACCATGCAGTTGACGATGCTTCTTGCTCCTTGTGCAGGTTGTCCAGTTGAAGTCGTTGAAGCTTGGATCGTGGTTGTCGGACTTGCTTGCGTTGAAGCAACTTGGGAGCTTGAAGGCCGCAGTTGTCGCTGTGGTGTCGTCTGACGAGACGGGCAATGCGTGCGAGGATGGCCTGAGGTTTTGCAGATGTGGCAGAACGGAGGTACCGTTTTCACTTGCTGTTGTCGATTGTTGTTGCCGTTGTGTCGTCGCTGAGTGTGAAAAGCAAATTCTGGTGCTAAAGCTTTCTTCTTGTGTCTTTCTTCTTGCAGGTCCATGTCCTGCTGCTCAGCATGAATTTCGGCGCAGAGTGCTGCTTCGGAGATCCTCCCGTGTGCTCGTAATATGGCGCGAGTGGAGCGCCAGTGGGGGCCGAGACCGCCGATGACCACCGTGACAAAGGCGTCTTCTGAAATTGACCCGCCGCATCGAAGAAGCTTGTCGCGCAGTTCGCGGCAGCGGCTGATATAAGCCATGCATTTCTCGCCTGGTTTCATTTCAATCGCTGTCAACTGCGCCATTAACCTGCTTTGGTTTACGCTGTCTGTTGCTTGATACAGGTTCTTCAGGTGGTTGTACGCGAGCTCCGCGGAGTTGCCGTAGCCTCGGTAAGTCCTGATGTTCTGCTGCTGGGTTGGGGTGATGTTCCTCAGCAGAATCGTGTACGCCATCATCGATTGATATGTATACTGCTGCTTCTCATATTGTGTCCCGTTTGTCGGATATGGCAGGGACCCGTCGAAGAAGCCAAGGATCTGTGCTCCTTCCATCATCAGTTCAAACTCGAACGACCAGGTAAAGAAATCTTTGCCGTCGAAAGGCTTTGTCGTTTGTAGTTTTAGGACGTGCGCGAATTGCGATTGGACTTGTAACGCGTCCAATGTCCTTTCTTGTCCCGATGCAGGTTGCGGTTGCGGCATGAAGCTGACGAAGCCACGTTGGGGCTCGTACGGCGCAAAGGTAGGCTGCTGTTGTTGTTGTTGCATCCCGCGTGCATAGGATGAGCCGTCGAGGCTCATCGGAGTAACATTGTTGTTGTTGTTGCTGTTGTTTGACTGCGCAGGCACTCCTTGCTGGTGTTGCTCGTAGAAGGACATGAAGGAGAAAAATTTCTCCATCATGTTTGAATCGAAGCCTGTTGGTGTTTCCGTGGACCCAGCTGCTGGTCTTGCGGTAGTGCCTTCCTCTGTCTGTAGGCCAGAGGCAGGAGGTGGAGTAGGAGTAGTGCCTGGGGAGCCGTTGGAGGAGCTCCTCTCCTTCCTTGCAGACATGTCTTCTTTCTTTGTATTTAAGTATTGAGAGAGAAAATGATCTTAAACTCTAACTGCTCTCATACCATGTTGGGCTGAGAAGCCCTAGGATCTTTGTAGAGTTTAAGGACTGAGTAGGATTGAATAGCGGAAGCGTTGTAATACAGAGTGGTTGAACCACCTTGCACTAGTATGTGAGAGCAAAGTAAGTTAGATTAAACAAGCAAATACAAGGTTTATATAAGAGTACAAGGAATACGAATCGATAGATTTAAACCGTTTTACTGTTGCGATTCGATACAGTGCGACTCGGGCAACTGCTCAATGTCGAGTCAGTTGTGTGTCCTTGCTGTCGCGCTGTATTGGTCAAGTCAAAGGTCGCTGACCTTTGACCTTCGCGTAACCTCCAGGCGGTTACCCCAACCTCCGAGGGTTGACTCGCGATGCTTCGATTTGGACCGCTTCGCTAGTGTCCTGAGTTTCGGACACGACAGAGGCGCTTTAAGACTTATTGTTCCCAACAAACACAACCCCTCCAGCGAATGAAGCGTTGGCCTTCGCAGCCATCACTCGCATGCCGATGCGCTCCAGGTTCTCATGCAGCTGCAAGCTTGGAAGAGCTTTGGTGAGCATGTCGGCCAGGCCCCACGTTTTCCGAGTAAATTACTCTGTTTCTCTGAAAATCAGAGTCATTTTTGAAAGGAACCCTGTACCTGCTGGGTTTTGCTTTTAAAAGTTTAGATTTAGAAAGCTTGCTTTCTTGCGTTTGCAATGGCAACGAGCTTCGTTTCATGGGTAACGAGCTTCGTTTCAAATGGGCATTACAACATTCTCGTCCTATTTAGATATGGTACATACATTACAAGTTCCAACATGCAGTTTTTGCTAGGGTGGGTGGGTGGGAAATAAGACATTTGAAATTTCAAACGAAGACGTGGGTGGAGGCCAAATGGCCTCCACCCCCTGCTATATAGTTGGCGAAGAGCGTAGAGCACTTCGCCGTTGCCATTGCTGCATTACAAGCAGCGTCGCTTTCGAAATATACATTTTTAGAAAGTGTTACACACTTTCAAAAAACTTCATATTTAGAAAGCTTGCTTTCTTGCGTTTGCAATGGCAACGAGCTTCGTTTCATGGGTCTTCTGAGACATGAGACGCGGTCATTCTAACGAGATGGTAAAGGTTGTTTGTGGCTTATGCGATGACATGTCGGTGGAGGTCCAATCACGCACGAAGGAGAGGCTGGCACCGATGTTGATGGTGATGCTGTAATCCCTGCTGTTGCCTTGGATGAAGTGTTGCCCCGAGTGTAGCACAGTAATGTTGATTTATGAGAGTCGGCTGACATGTGAGCTTCGGACACAAACTCGC